TGGAGAACATCTGGACATCAGTTCTCTGTTAGATGGAGAACATCTGGGCAGCAGCTGCAGCAGCTCTGCTCAGTGTCCCAGTTTTTTATGATGAAGATAAAAAGCTTGTGCAGAAAGTGGAGCTCACCTTTTCCACGTCCTGGAACGGCTGCTGAAAGAAAGAAGAGACGGCTCAGGGTGAAACGCTTCGATCGTCTTTCAGGGATTAAGAATAAATCTGAGTTCCTGTGAGGTCATCACTCTGAGACGTTCCTCATCATCATCAGGCACACCTGAGCTGTTACCTGTCAGCTCTGAGCTCAGGTAGCGTCCAGCTGCAGGTCAGAGGTCACGGCTCAGACTGTCACTGTGACCCCGCCCCCCCCTCACCTCTGAGCCCACCATCGCCTCCCTCCCCCTCTGCAGGCGCTCCACGTCATCGATCTCGTACACCTTGATCTCAAACGGCTCCTTCAGGGCGCCCCCCAGCGGGGGCAGCTCCACCCACTGGCTCCCGGCCTTCCTGCCCAGGGACGAGGTGTCAGGGAGGGGGGCTGGGATCAGCCTGCGCCGCAGGAAGCCTCCTGGAAGGAAGAAGACGAGTTTGTGACGACGTGACGGTGGCTCAGATAAAAACAGAGTCTGAAGGTTCTGCTGCGGGAGCAGAGAACATTATGAGGTTCTACTGAACACATGACGGGTTCTTCTTGTTTTCTATGGACCTGAAGAAGAACATGCACAAACATGAACATTTAAAACGAGCAGACTCTGGATGTTCACCCACTGAACCTCAAAACACCACGACAAGAAAATAAATGTTTTTATTGTCGCAGCGATTCAAAATAAAACCAACAACAACAAAATCACTTTTTTATTTTTTTATCTCGTCGAGTGAACTGTCTGCGCTGATGAGGAGACGTGGTTTGCAGCTCACGTCCTCACCTGTGGAGTTAGCAGCGCCATGGCGCTGTGCAAAAGTTTTGAACCGTCCCTCATCATCACTGAAGTCCAAAGGGCGATGATGTAATTTCCTGTTTGTCTGGTTGTGAAATGTCTCTTGAGTCACTGAACAGATTTTAATGAACCCTTCATAAAGTAATCAATAAATAACATCAACAACTGATTGACATCAAAACAGTGGATCAAATTCAAGATGGCTGTCCCAGCTGAGCATCCATAGCAAAAACACATAGATGGTTATAACTAAACCAAACTGTCAGATACTGAGCTAAAACTTGGTTTAGTAGCAGCTGACGCTCCACACCAGGGGTGTCGACTCGTGGTCCTGCAGGTTTGACCCGTCTCCCTGATCCAGCACGTCTGATTCAAGGGTTCAATTTCCTCTTTGTTTCCTATTAATCCCACATTGATTCAAACCAGATGTGTTGAAGCAGAGAAACATCTAAAACGTGCAGGACGGTGGCCCCTGGGAGCCAGGACTGAACACCCCTGCTCTGAACTCCGTCAGATAACTCAACATCTCTCAACGTTTGATCAAACGAGCTACAACTCCATCATTTCTCACTAGAAGATGATCCGAGTCTAAAGGCCTGAGAGGCAGCGGGCGACATGCATTCATTTAAGGCCCTAAAACGCCCATTGAAGGTACGATGTAATATTATACAGTCTCCGTAAACTTCCTCTTGTCCCGCCCACAACTTTTGATCTGATCAAGATTATTTATGAAACTTCATGCACATCATAGACAGAGTGTCGAACCCTTTATATCGCACCAGCTTCAAGGTCAAGAATCAAGGTCAAAGGTTCAAACGATGTCTTTGCTTGTCCAGCCTGAAACTTCTGATCCACTCAAGATAATGTTTTTTTTTTTTAACAAGGTCTTTTTATTGATTTTTGAACATACAAACAACAAGGGATCACAAAGAACAAAAACCCTCCGGATCAGTCACACACACAAATAAACTAAACAGGCGTCGACAAGTTTTCCACAAACAACATAAAAAACTGCCAAGTGTCCTAAAACCTTTTAACAGAACTCTTCAGGGTATATCTGTTCTGTTTTGTTTTTTACTGTATGTTACATCACTTCTCTTATCCCTTCCAGTTGCACAAGACAAGTCTTCTGGCCAGAAGAGAGCCAAAAGCAATCAGATCCTTCTCATACTTGCTGAAGGACGTGTCCACAGGGACCACCCCGAACAGTGAGATGAACGGTGATGGGGGAACAGTTTTCCCACATATCACAGGGAAGGTTTCAAAAATAGATTTGCCAAAAGGTCTGCAGTTTGGGACAGGGCCAGAATGTATGCAGGGTCCAGGTTGGCTTTGATCTTGGACATCTTGTCTTTGGGCCAGTGCAGCCGGTGCTCCACCTTGAATTGAATTTCAGAATGTTCCAGACAGACTGAAGACCGCTCAGGATAATTTAACAAACTTAGTACATGTTTTTACCTCCACTAGACAGTGTGTCACATATTTAAATTTATTTTTATTTACCTTTATTTATCCAGGTAGTCTCATTGAGTCATGAGAACTCATTTTCAAGAGAGACCTGTTTGGGAGCAGATGGTGGGGGTTAAGGGCCTTGCTCAAGGGCCCAGAGTGGGGCACATGAGGGTGGAGGCAGGTGTGGGTGTTTCACCTTTTCCACCCACATTTTGATGTTGTTGGTCCGGGGAGTTGAACCTGCAACTTTCCGATCACAGGCCCATCTTCTAACCTCTGTGCCACCACTCCCCTAACGTAATTTCTTCATCACCCCAGCTGTAAGGTCAAGGTCACAAATCAAGGTCAAAGGTTATAAAAGTGTTTTCTTGTGTGTTGCTGTATAACAGCTGATAATGTGCCGTATGCTCTTGTTTTAGTTTACAGGTGTTTAATTAGACCTACAGCAATAAAGATTTGTCTCGGTAAGGATGAACTAATCCGACACGATGAGTTCGTTTTCACCAAGTCAGCCCACACTGCTCGTTAGCTCTAATCACTCGTCTCTTCCTCGCCCCGTGCGTTTGCTGCTGTTCAGACATTTTGACAGAAGTTATCGTGAACCTGAAGACCTGGGGCGTCGCGCCTGCAGGCAGCTGTCAGCGGGGCTGTTGGTGACGCTAACAACAACCATCACTGACGATCAGCACCGCCCGGACGGAGAAACACCCCTCAGGTGACTGACGAGTGTGTGTGAGAGGACGGAGGGTGGGGGTGATAATTGGATCGCTGCGTCCTCATGAATCATTCATGATGCAGACATGAGTGGATCCATGCTGCTTCCTCGTGCGACCTGCGACCTTCTGCACGGAGCTTAATCAGCTGCCGGGAGGTGGAAGTGGCCGATAACGAGGAGGACGATGAGCTCGTCACACACCTCTGATAGACGCTCCTGCAGGAATCAAACCAGCGCTCCTCAGTGGAAACATTAAACCGAGCAGCCACTTCCATCCCGTCTTTGTGCTTCAGCAGATGAGAAAAAGCCATAAATATGATAATTTCTTCACACGGTGTGAAGGAAACGGGACTTTTACGTCTCTTTTACTTTCAGTGCATCTTATTTCTGTCTGTCGATCCTCGTTTATTAAAAACTGATCCCGAAAAAAGAAAAGTTCAAAAGCTTCGACAGTTCAAGCTCTCATCAAAAGACCATTTAAATAAAATCCATGTTCAAATATTAAAATGGTTCTTTAAGAACATCTTTTTCCAACGCTTCAACTTTTAATCTTTTTAACACCTCAGTTTAACAAACAAATAGATTTATACTAAACTAGATTCATGTTATAATTAAAAACTAAAAATGTACAAGTTACTTGAATTAGACTTTAATAAACTGGGCTTGATTAAAATATTGGAAGCATTTAATTTTGATTCTGTGTTTCGTTAAATCAAGTTATTTTAATAAATTGAACTAAAATTTAGATCAAATTAAGGTGCAAGTTGATCAAATTGAACTTTTATTGAATTATTGTAAATGATTGTATATTGATTGAACTGTGCTGAATAATGACTGACTGAATCTGTGGAGCTGGACTGGTTTTTACCAAACTGAAATTACAGGAATAAAGGTTGTTTCATTGTATTAAACTGGAATAGTTTGTCATTTCTAAGGTTTTAATTTAAGAAAGTGGATTCTATTTGGATTAGATTAATGGTTTTCAACATATTTCAGCTAAATTAATATAAACTGAACCATAAAAGACAGATTTTTATTGAAGTTGGCTAAATTTACACAAAGTTAAATTAATTTGAATTCATTTCACCACACCTTATCTCAAATTAAATCAACTAAAATGTAATAAATAGACTTCAGATGGATTAAATTTGACTTTTTATTTTTAATAATTTTTGTTATTTCATTGAATTGGACTGAAAACAGAGTTTGAACTGAACAGAAATGAACAAACTAAGTTGTAACCAGACTAAACAGGTTGACGTTTAAATGATAAACAGTGTAATTTAAATAAAATGGACAGTTTTTCATTTGAATAAAATTAATTAGATTAAAATAGAATTAAATGAGACCAGCACTGCTGCAACTAAATCAATGGAACGAAACAATTAAAATAAAGTATAAATATTGATTAGCAGCTGATAATGTGCCGTATGCTCTTGTTGTATGCTGACGTGGCACCAAAACTTACAAGAACAGAGATCACAAGGAGACACGAAGAACAGAGAATGAAAGGCTGTGGGAAGCACAATCCATGGACAACCAGTAAACACAAAGACACTGAACTTAAAGGGACAGTAACGAGACATAATAACCAACACCTGGGGTGACTGGGAGCAGGTGAAGCAGGAGATGGCACACGAAGGAAAAGCACTGGGGAAGGCAGGAAACAATAAGACAAGAATCTAAAGAAAGAACATAAGCCACAGATTCTCACAGCTTTAGGCACATCCATAAACTTCAAAGTTGTGCTTCAAACTTCCACCAACATCAACAACGTTTTAACGTGTTTGCTTTTAAACAGTTTATAAGAAACGTTTGGGTCTTTATAACTTGGACTCACCGTTTCCTCTCTTCTTGGGGGATTTGGACACCCTGCCTCTGTTGGATGAGGACGCTCCACTTTCGCTCATGGAGTCGTGAGCTGACGAGGTGCTGCCGGTGGTCTCGCTGTCTCGGATCATGCTCTCGTAGCCGCTGCTGCCCCCGCTGTGGTAAAACAAGGCAGTGCGGCCCATAGCAGGGGGCAGCTCCCCGCTGAGGATGCTGCTGTTGTCACTGCCGTGCCCATTGCTGTAGCGTTGCGGCCTCCGAGGCGCAGTGATCTTACTGTAAGGCGATGGCGGAAGCGTGTTGAGCGTTAATCTGTTTGTGCTACTCGTCTCGCTGTCAGAGCTCCCGATTTCTCCAGGTACCCTGCCGAGCTGCTTCCTCCCAGCAGCTAGCTCGCTGACTCGGCTGTTGACAGCCCTGTTGATGACCTGCTTTGTCCCCATGATGGTGCCTCTTCCCATCTTGGTTCCATTTCCTGCACGAGCAGGAGACTTGCCAGTAGGAGGTAGGCTGCTAGTGTTGTGGCCAGCTGCATTGTCGGGAAGTTTTGGAGTAGAACTCTTTGAGCTGCTTGTTGACAATGATCGAACCTTCAGTCCTCCAGAGACAGCGAATCTGGAGCCAGCAGCACCTTGGACCTGCCCTAGTTTACTGCTGGTTGCAAAAAATGCTGAAGAAACTTGAGAAGAAGAGGGTGAGGTTGAGGCTGAAAGACTGAGTTTTGGTAATGATCTGTTGGATTTGCTGCTACTTCCTGAAGCAGCGCCAATGGTATCCTTAAACACCTCGGATTTTGAGCTGGGTGAAGTTGGACTTTCACATATTTCCAGAGACATTAAACTCCCATAGAACCTGGAAGAATCTGCTTTGACCCCTCGTGTCTTCAGGCTTGAAGATGTCCTTGGAGAACCATGATCAGTTTTTAAACTAAATGTCCTGTTGCTGAATGAATCTGCTTGAAGTCTGACGATGAATTCCTCCTCTGAGGTGGAAGTTTTCGGGAAGACAAACTTTCCACTGTTGCTACTTGTCTTTAAGGCACTTGGAGACCTCATCTTTTGTTCTTGGCTAGACCTTAAGAAAAGTGGAGTAGGAGGAGAGATGTTTACAGATCCAGACTTTGAGATTGTGCTGCTATTTTGTCCATTTGACTTCTTTCCAAGTGATGAAAACCTCAGTGTCCCAATCGTTGAGGCAGCCTCATGACTCCATTTTAGTTCTGAGCTCTGTGGAGGTGAAACTGTTCCCAGAGTTGTTGCACCTCGGGTGAGTCGTGGCAATTTGATGAGGGTAGCTTCTCTCCTGCTGGTGGACTTCTCGCATCCATCCACAACCCTCTGGGCTGACAATACTTGCGTCTTTGAAGGTCGAGGCATGCTATTGCTGTTCCCTCCATATTTCCGAGAGGAAATGGTACTAGTGCCACTTCTTAGTGACTTACCTGCAGAGAGAAACTCAACCTCTCTGGGATCAATGAAACTGCTTCCCTGAAGCAAAAAGTTCTCATGTCTGCCTTCCTGTCTGCTGCAACCCACAGTGGCAGATGAGGTAGGCTTGTTTTTTCTGGGAAGACTTGAGTGGGTGGTGTATTGGGGAATCTGGGCAGTCGGAGTGTTAAGGGTGCTGGCTCTCACCTTAGGGGAGCCTTTGGAGGAGGTTTTGGCTAAATCAGGGGAAGGACACTCGATGAACGAGGATTTGTTTGGGGTGGCAGGGTCACTGTCCAGCTCTGAGAAACAAACACCACTGTCATGCAATGAGCTCTTCAGGCCATGCTGCAGAAATCTTTCTCTATGAAATACTCTTGGCGAGCTCAGAATAGATGAACAGTCATCCTTCATTTGTAACCTGTTTGATAAACTGCTGTCTTCAGTTGTAACGGGTGACCTGCAGTCCGGTCCCTCAGCCCCGTGCTGAGCTGTGTAAGCATCATACTCATCATTGATGCTAGTGATGATGCTGATTGGACGGGAGCCAGTTGCTAAGGCCTGTGGTGAGCAATCAGTGTTGAAGCTAAGGAGGTTGGAGGGGCGGCCATTGTCTGGGACAAAGCTAAGTGGAAGCTCCTCGATGATGGTGAATACAAGCTCATCCTCTCCATTCAGTTCCACAGGTTGCTGCAGTGTGACCGTGGTCCTCAGAAAGTCTCTGTCCAGGCACCTTCCTAGAAAGGCTGCACGAAAACCACTGACTTCCACAGGGTATCTGTTGACATGAGGGGGATTGTCCATGTCAAATGGCACCTGATAGCTCAAGCCCACAGGGGGAATCCTGCAGGAAGCTTCTCCAGGCTTGATTGTTGTCCTGGATGTTGGAGCAGAGGTTTGGCTGGGTGGCAGCTTGGGTATGCCTGCTCTAACCTTCTCTCGAACCACAGGCTCTGAATCCTGGGAGATAGCCCCACTGTACCCCAACAAACATGGCTGAATGAAAGTAGCTGGGAGTTTCTCTCCATCAGCTCTTGTCCTTTTGGAGGAGTCCATGAGGCTTCCATCTGAAGGGAGTCTGGATTCTATCTGATCAGGATTCCTGGTGCTCTGGGTGGAGTTGGGTGAAGAAGTTTCCTCTGTAAATTTAGCAGCCTCAGTTTGAGTCCACATTGCTTGTTCACCTCTGTTCTCTTTACTGCAAGCTGCAGGACCCTCACTGCCATCGATGCAGTCAAGTCTCTCCTGTAGCTCTGCAAATGTGTTGCATTTTAAGTGATCGCCGTCTTTTCTGGGAGCATCTTTGGTTTGTTTTTTGTTCAGGGAAGGAATGATGGGAACAAAGGAAGGCGGACCCTCATTGTCGCTCAGCTCTCGGTCGGATACTGCCGTCCCTCCAGGCCCAATGTAGATGACTGTATCGCAGGACTGTTCGCTGCTGGATGAATAGTCTGGATCGCTGGAGAGGATCAGAGGAGTCTCAGAGTCCAGGGCCACAATCCGAGGGTGGAAGAGTTGGAGATGGGGAGGTCGATGAGCTGGGCCTTCTTCACAGGAACTGTCCCCTCCAGAAGAGCTGGAAGCATACTGGAAATAAACAATACCAAACAATTACATTAAGAAACCTACATGAAAATACCTTGAATACAAATTAGTGTCTGGAGTTATTGGTGTCCATTAAGTACAAGGGTAAAATTTCACAGTGCAAGATGAATTACATTTACCATCAGTAATTTACATATGCTTCTAGTTTTCCATCTGTATGGTTTTTATATTGTATGAAATACAAAAACAACCTGTCGGTCAGATCATTGAGGGTGAGAGCCCTTCTCATTCCTCCAGAAACACCATCATTGATTATATGTCATATCATAGGAAAAATAACTCCAGGATTTCTGCTGTGGATCCATGGTCTTATCCTGGAGATATCTACATTAGAAAGGTTTTACAGCAGCCACTGACCACAGAATATCAATCGAAACTCATTTAGAGGTCAGAACCTTTCAGTTCACTACACGTACATGTCATTCACACACGTGTTGTTGGACCAGAAAAAACAAAACAAAACACTGAATAGTTGATTGTTGCAGGATGCTCCGGAGCTTTTCATGATTGGCAATATTTTTAAATTAAACTGACATTAAATGCAATGATATATATTTTAAGATGTTCTGATTCCCATGGAGGGACATTCATTCAAAAATATGTACTTTAAAAACATGTATACATTAAATTATTATCATATCTGTTTTTGGTAAACATACATAATATGATCCTGTAAGGGCAGGACCTGGTAAGTACTAAGTATAAAACAAGATACATACCCAATAAGTACCAGGTACCTACTGAGGTCTTATCAACTTGTGTCTTGGTTACTTACCTGGAATGTACCAAATAAAACACCGAGTACAAGACAAGTCCAAGGTAAGTACAAGGTAAGTACTCAATATGTACCAGGTAAGGAAAGGATATGTACCTGGTTCAAAGCAAATAAATACAATTACTGTTTACTTACCTGGTATGTACCTGGTACCATACCTGATGCATACATTTTAGGTATGAGGTAAGTACTAAATATGTACCTGGTACAGTACGTACCTGGGTTGAACTAGGTTGTATTATGTATTGCAACATGATTTATTTTCTTTAGTTTTTAAGTTAAAAGAAACTATGAAAAATCAACCTGGCTAAATATCTTCATTATGATTCAAAAACATTTAACACAAAATCAATAATTTGTTAAACAAAACAAAAAAATGATCAAAATGATTGATAACAGTCATAAACCCCACCCCTTTAGCGCCACCCCCACCCATTATAAAATACACTGTGGTAAATTTTATCAAGAGATGGTAAAATAATAAATCGTGATTTCCTTTTGTAATTTCCTGGGTTGGTGGGGAATTGTATGAAGGCGGGGTTTAGCATCTGACAGCTGTCAATCATTTTATCAGGACATATTCCATCAGATGACTCAATCTATGAGGCTTTTATTTTGTAAATGATCCATAGATGAGTGACAAGACACTTGTTTCAGCTATAACTCAATCTTGGTCTCATTCTTCACAATCATCCAGGAGGAGTTTGAAATAAATGAAACATGAAGTACTTTGGACTTCTTCTTCCTGGTGCGGTGGATTCGTGAGGCCAGCTGCACTGTGGTCAGCGTCTCCGTGTAGTTCACCGGTGAATCCGAGACGTGAGCGATCATGGTGGTTCGACAGTTGATGTTACCCAGAGACTCGCTGAGCAGCATGGTGAGCTTGCTGTCCCTGAATAATACATCAAGAAAACCCTCGTTAGTCCCGAAGAACAAGGAGACGAAAGAAAGACACACTGCAGGCCCGAGAAACCCCACAGGATCCCAGAGACCGTTCGTTACGCCACGCAACAGTTGGGCTCAAGACGGGCAGAAACGGAATAAGAAAGATCTCTCATGTGGCATTCATGAGGCGCACTTTGAACTGCACGCCACATGTGTGCTGCCGTCTCACATGCGGCATGAGATCTTTGAAGAGACCTGGAGTAAAGCTGCACAAGAGACACTCCTCTAGATTTACATACCGCAGTCTAAGCCTTTTCTCCTCTTTGGTTTAACGTCAACAACAAAGCTGAAAATATTACGAGTTTGGGATTTTAGCCGCCTCCTTTGGATCAACGAACCCTGCTGCCTTTGCTTATTTCATGCTTCTTCTTGTAAATCAGTGGGTGTTTCTATCAGCTGCTTTAACGTGAAAATAATGAAGAGGACATGACCTGATAGCTTCAATAATCACATTGCACTGAAGCAGATGCTCCAACAAGAAAAATGTGTCAACGTCAAAATAAAACGAGGAAACTGTGCCAGGCTGAATAACAGACACCCAGAGGACTGAGCACACGTCAGTCAGCATTACAAAGCAATTAATTCATCAACGTTAACCAGCGCTTACAACTGACTGAACACTCATTAAAAATACATTTCATTCTGCCAGCCCCCCCCCCCCCCCCCCCCCCCCCCCCCCCCCCCTCCTGCTTTGTCCTCACAGGAACCAAGGGTCCATCTGTCTTGATTAAGATGCTATCAGTGTGAGCTCAGACCTGTAGGGAACGTGCTTGGCTCCATTGGCGAGTGCCAGGATGACGTTTCCCAGCGCAGATAGAGACAGACACTGGCCTCCGCCTCCCTCTCTGGTCCTGCTGATGTCCGTCTCACAGCTCCCCAGGTCCAGGAGGTGGAGACGACTCCTGCCAGACACTGAGACACAGAAAACAATGCATGGATCAGAGGCAAAGCTCAACTGCTCATCACTGCTCAAATGCGTCATTGCTGTAAGTTCTGGTCAATTTATCGACCAGTTTGTTGACAGAAACATAATGAGGTCCTGTTATTGAAGACACAGAGCCCCTCCAGGAGTTAGAACATCCTGTAAAGCTGTTGAACCAGAGGATGAGATGTGTCTGTTCGGTGGCTTGATTCTTTTCTCTGGGTACAGAGTCTTGGCAGGACCAAAGGACGAATGATGCAAGAAGAATCAGTTCTGTTGTCAGTGGAAGGAGCACCTGCTGCCTCTGCAGGGCGGCAGAAACAGGCGACGCTCCGACGCTGCACGTCTCCGCCAAGCAAGTTCTCACAGCCCTGATTCAAGCCTGACTGACGTCTCAGAGGAGGGACCAGCTGCTGGTCCTCATGAAGAACATCTAAACCTAACTATGGCTGAAAAAAACTCAAGAAACAAATGTCAAGTCTGGAATGATTGGTTCCTATGTGAAGCCAGTGCTACAAACCAACTAAAGTTCACGATCAAGTTCAGTTTGAACCATCAATCAGGCAACCGAAGTCCAAACCAAGACTATCCAGTGACTCTGTAGTCCTGAGTCAAATCCCTGATCCAGTGACAGGACAGGTCTCAAGTCAAGACCAACAAGTCCCGTCACAACTGGAAAATCCCAGGTCTCGAGTCTCGAGTTAGATCTTTGATCCAGACAGTATCGAGACCAGACTCAATCTGCCGAGTCTTAACGTCATGTTTCAAATATCAAGGACCACCTAGAAAGTTCCTGGAGAAACTTTAATGGAGACTGCCACGTTGTGGCCATTTGGAAATTGTGATTTGACAATGCTATGTGTTGGGGTTCGCTCTCAGTGACCACTACACCAAATTTCAGTTCAATATGGCCAAAAATAAAAAAATCTACGAGGTATAGTCGGGGGTTTTTAAGCTCTGGTGGCCATGTTGGATTTTTGATTTGGATTTAGTATTTGATGGGGATCATACTCAGTACATCAAAGTTCAGCTCTGTGTGCGTAAAAACAGTTGAGTGAAAGCTTTTTAAAAGTAGCTTTGGTGGCCATCTTTTTTATGTGAATTCAGTATTTATTGGGCATTGCTCTCAGCCACCACACCAAATTCCAGCCTAATATCTCTAAAAATGGCCGATTTATAGTATTTTTCCTTTTTAGATCAGGCGGCCATCTTGGATATTTTTCTTTTCTATCGGAGTCTATTAGGGATCGTTCTCAGCTACCACCACACCAAATTTCCATGAAATACTGTAGCGCTAAAAACCTCTGAGTTATATCCATTTGAAATTAGCTTTGGTGGCCATCTTGAAATTTTAGATTTGAATTCAGAATGAGTTGAGCATCGTGCACACCAAATTTCTGCTCAATAACTTTTAAAATAGCTGAGTTATTAGTTGTGGCAGCCATCTTGAACCAAAATGGCTCCCAAAATGGCTCAAACCTCTCCCCTCGAGGTCATGTGACCTCACGGTGGCAGTTAGAAGCTGTTAATTAATTCTGTCAGTGTTTTCAATGAGAAAAAAGGCATCTTTGAAAATTACGTCACCATGGTAACTCGAAACACCAATAAAAGTACCAGCACACATCACGGGGCTGAACCGGTCGTTTTGATATAACATTTGTGGGGGGACACGTTGCGGTTCGGGCTGAATTAAAGTTGAAAGAAGAGTAAGACCCTTTTCAGGTGGAGAACAATAAGAGGCTGTCTCTGTCCCCAATAAACATCTAACACAAAGATTTATTAATAAGCATCAAAGACTCCGGCCAAATAAAACTCTTATTGAATAAAATCCAAAGTTCTGGTACTAAACAGGTGATTCTCAAGTCCAGACCCATGGTGAGACCAACAAGTCCTGATTAAAACCAAAGCACCCACAAAGTAAGCCTCATGTTAGGTGGGGTACACCACCCCACCCCTCGTCCAATGATGAACCCTGAACAGGTCTCTGGATCCACCACAGCAGCTGGGTGACCGTTCAAATCCATCCATTCTAATCAAACCAGGTTGTTTTCACGCTGGCTGGACGTCTGAGCAGCTCTGATTCAAGTTTAATGTCCCTCTAACGGCCTGCTTGTTTCAGTAATTCAGAGTAACGAGGGTGGGAAAGTTCAGCAGCTCACGTCAGCAAGATGTAGAAACTGCAGCCGAGGGCAGACTTTTACCACCCGGCGCTCCATAAACACGGCAGGACGCGAGTCGTCAGGCCTCGTTAGCCGGGCCGCCGCGGACACGGAGGCCATAAAACACCGATAACTGTGGAGACGTCTCCGCCGCCGCAGGTGGACGTGGGCGGAGGAGGCGGTGGCGAGGCCTCTGGGGCCGTGAATCGACATGAAGCTAATTAGCAGCTAGATGTTTGGAAACTACATTAAAAGAGAAGCTGCTGGAGAACGGAGGAGATTTTATTCCTGCCTGAGCGGTCAGTGAGTTGTGTTCACCGCGGCGGAGTCTCGTTTTTACACCCAGAGGGTCATTAAATATATTTTACAACGTTCTGATGCAGATTTCTGGGGTTGTTCAGAGCTTAGTCTCTTGTCAGGAGAAATACAGGTTTAATTTGTTTGGACACCTTTAAAATGTGACGCCACGTGTTGAAAACCTGGTTATATTCACAGAGAGCTCAGTTTTACTGGCTGAAGATAAACAAGCCTGGTGAGGCTTTTAGTGGCGTTATTTTTAAACTTCATATCGACAAAGTCTCAGATTATACTCTGCTTGTTTTGGTAACTGGATATTTTCCTCACAAACCAGAACTCAAAGACAAAAAAAAACAAAACAACTGTGGTTATTGGATTCATTTGAAATATGAGCCGGGCGGCACGGTGGCACAGTCGGTAGAGCTGTTGCCTCTCAGCAAGAAGGTCGCCAGTTCAAATCCTGGCCCGGGACCTTTCTGGGTGGAGTTTGCATGTTCTCTCCGTGCATGCGTGGATTTTCTCCAGGTACTCTGGTTTCCTCCAGCAGACCAAAAACATGCATGTTAGACTGACTGGTAACTCTGGATTCTCCCTGTGATGGACTGAGACCTGACCAGGTGTCCCTGTGATGGACTGGATACCTGTCCAGGTGTCCCTGTG